CTCCCTCCCTCCCTCCTTCCCTCCCCACCTGAGTGGCGAAAAAGAGGTCCGGCTCCGACGCAGCGTCCATGATGGGCCTGGGATCCTCCTCCTGCAGAGACAGAGAGGGAAAAGGGAACGCTGGCAACATGAATTCTAAGCTTCTTGGGTGCCTGATTCTCCCGTCTCCTCCTGTCCCCGCAGTATTTTTAACGGCCAGAAAGAGAAAGGGACTTTCCTCTCCCTCCTCCCTCGCCTCCTCTCTTCCCCCTCTTCATCCTACTCTTCCTCCCTCCCTTGCACTCTCTCTCTCTCTCTCCCTCCCTCCCTCCCTCCCTAACTCCCACCCTCCCTCCTGTGTCACCTGCTTCCACTTGAACAAGAAGACCAGGCCATACACAGGCGCCAGGTCGGCGAAGGACGCCGGATCCAAATCATAAATCTCTTCTACCTGCGGAAACACGCATTAGGTGAAACAAAGCCGTGCGACCCCGATAGGAAACGAGCCATTCTTCCATCCCAGTCTTTTCCCTTACCTGAACCCCTTCAACCCCAAAGTTCTCGATGACCTCCGTAAACACTCCAGGGTCCGATTCAATCGTGCACCAATTCTCGGCCATGTCGACAAGCAACACTACCTGCAGGGCATATGTTGAGTGAGTGGGTAAAGCGGTGGGAAGCAAAAGGCAGGGACTGATCCTGACGGTCATATTGACGGCCTGACCGTCAATACAATGAAGACGTGAAGGTATGAGTTGACTCTGCCTAAAGAGGCCCGTGCGAACACGAAAACAACGATGCGGAGGCGGCCGAGCATTCGGTACGCGCATATTACAGGAGTGGACGAAAGGTGGTAGGAAATATAGGGGAGGAAGGCAGGGGTTTCTAAGGATCTGGGACTTCTTGAGCTGGTTGCGAAGTGAAATGCGAAGAAAAATTAGCGAGGGCGGGCGAGAGAGCGCATCGTCTTAGGCAAACGTCGCAAAAGCAAGGTGGAGAATGCGTCAACCTGCCTGCACGCGTCTTGTGTGTGTGTGTCATCAGGGTGGAATGTGGGCATGGTACTGGCTTTCCTTGTTGGGTCTTTGTGGGTGACAGAGCCCTTCCCTCATTCCATGCGAGACGAGCCGCGTATCGGGACCCAACGAGGCGACCTCCTTGTTGGCTTTCCACGAAACCGTGTGCCAGCCTGACCTCTATATTCATGCCGTCACGCTTCTCTTCATCGCGCACGTGTAGGAAGAAGAAACCGCCGTGACAATTCTCAAGCTTGAGGACGGGGATAAGTGCAGCAGCCAGAGGGAGGCAGCGGCTACAGGGAACCCAACTCTGATATAATCTGTTTGGCTGTCACCAGGTTCTTCGCGCTACGCTCAAAGGAAGCGGAAAAATCACTTTGGAGCAGGGCATTCGCGTGTTCATCATAAATCTCTGTCGAATCACGCCGTGAGAAGC